TATAAAATATTAATATATATATATATATATATATATATTATATATATATATATATATAGTATATATATTAAATATACTACTAAATAGATATTAATATATAATATATTATATATATATATAGTAATAATATAATATATAATTATGTATATTCATTTATATAATTAATTATAATATAAATAATATCATATATATATATATATATATATTATATATATATATAAATATATATGTAATGTATATATATATATATATCATATAATACATATATATATATACATATATATATACATTATATATATATTAATATATTATACATAATATATATATATATATATATATATAATATATATATATAATATATATTATATATAACATATATTATATAAATACATATATTATATATATATATTTATATATTATATATATACATATATATATATATATATATATATATATATATAATATATATACATATATATATATATATATATATTATATACATATACCTATATATATATATATATATATATATATATATATATATATATATGTTATGATCAATATTTAATATATATAGATAATATATATGATAGATAGATAGATAGATAGATAGGAGAATAGATAGATAGATAGATAGATAGATAGATAGATAGATAGATAGATAGATAGATAGATAGATAGATAGATATATATATATATATATATATATATATATATGTATGTATATATATATATATATATATATAATATATATAATATAAGTATAGAGTATTTAGGCTTCAAAATTGATGGTAAAAGTATCCATGAGACAGATGAGTTAGGGCAGTAAATGGTGCCAAACTGCCAGAGAATGTTAAAGAATTACCGTCATTTTTAGGGTTATTCATATTTTATGATAATTTTGTTCAGAATGTAGCCAGTATTGCTAGCCCATTGTATAATTTTACTGCAAAAGAAGTTCTATGGAACTGTTCAGTAAAATGTCATGAAACTTTTGACAAGATTAAGACTGAAATAACTAAAGAAACTTTTCTAGTACACTACAATAAAGATTTGCCTGTAAAACTAGTGTGTGATGCATCGCAAGTAGGGTTAGGTGCAGTATTAGCTCACATTATGGAAGATGGTACTGAAAGACCCATTGCTTTTGCATCAAGACTACTGAATAAGGCAGAACAGAGATATTCTCAGATTGAGAAAGAGGGATTAGCTTTGGTTTATGGTGTTAAAAAGTTCCACATGTACCTCTATGGCAGAACGACCTTTACATTAGTAACGGATCACAAGCCACTATTAGCCATTTTAGGACCAAAGAAGAGTCTGCCGGAATTTGTAGCAGCTCGTTTACACAGATGGTCAATAACCCTAGCTGCCTATAACTATGGCATAGAGTATAGGTCAACAGCCAAGATGGGGAATGCATGTGCTCTGTCGAGACTGCCAGTCGATCAGGCTTCCAGTGAGGAATCATCGAGCATTTTGTTGGTAGACGCATGCGATTTCCGGTTACATCGAAGCAAATTGCAAGTCAGACTAAGAGCGATCCCATATTATCAAGGGTTTTACAGTGTTTGCCACTAAATAATAATGATGTATTGTCGGAGCAGCAATACAAGCCATTTACAGACGTGTGGTCAGAGTTGTCAGTTGTACAGGATTGTATATTGAGAAAAACCAGGGTAATAATTCCGGACCGTTTGAAAGGCAGAGTTCTTGCGGAGTTACATGCCGAACACCAAGGTATTGTACTCACAAAGGCAATTGCTCGTACTTTTGTGTGGTGGCCTGGTATTGACAATGACATTACGACTCATGTAAGAAATTGTGAGGGATGTGCATTCCAGCAGAACAATCCAGCTCCATGTAAGACACACCCTTGGGAGACACCGAGTACTTCATGGCAGAGAGTACACATTGACTTTGCAGGTCCTTTTCGAGGTCACACTTTCTTGATTGTAGTTGACTCATTTAGTAAGTGGCCTGAAGTTATACCAATGATCTCTACAACTGCATATAGCACCGTGAGAGTGCTAATGTCCCTATTTGCAACACATGGTATTCCTGAACAAATTGTGTTGGATAACGGACCTCAGTTTGTTTCAAGTGAGTTTGATAGTTTTTGTAAGGGAAACAACATCAAACACATTCGTAATGCTCCATATCACTCTGCAACGAATGGTGAGACAGAAAGATTTGTACAGACGTTCAAGTCTAACATGAAATGTAGAGGCAGTCGCAGATCTGGTCTCACCGCTAACATAAACAGGTTCCTACTATCACATAGAACCACTCCTCATGCAACCACAGGTTGTTCACCTTCATTTCTGTTGATGGGGAAGAGGGTGAGATGTAGGTTAGTTGCAATGACACCAAAATTGGCTGTAGAACAAACAAGTAAAACCGAGAGTGTGAGGGACTATAGAGAATTTAACATTGGAGATAAAGTACTGATAAGATCATATACTTCTTCAGAAGAAAAATGGTTTGAAGGACAAGTAGTACAAAAGCTAGGTAAATTGCATTACATGGTAAAAGATGCGGATGGTCGAGAGATGAAAAGGCACATTGATCAAGTTATTTTAAGAAGGGTGTAATCATCCCTAAAAAGCATCATAATTCCTTCTATACAGCAAGATCAATCAATACAACAGGAAAAGAAGGAAGTTAAAGTAGCCCAGGAGAATATGCCTTCTGATATACCTAAAAAGAAAGACTACCACGAAGGTCTACCAGAAATAAACTTCCGGCTAGATATGTTGACAATTATATCCTTACGGGTAAAATGTAATTGTATCTATGTGTAATCGAGCCATTGTGATGGTATTAGATGTATGCTTCGGGGCAGTTGTAATACTTATAATTGTGATATTGTCAACTATTGTGATATTTTTGATATTAAGTATTCATTCAATATGCTTCTGGGATTATCAATAATTGTATTATCTTCCATAAGGGGGAAGGAAGTGTTATGTATTAACATACACTAAATATATGCTATTAACACTATAAGTTCTATGTATAAATTGACTAACAATTATTGTTTGTGATACCCGTGCAATGATGTGCAATCCATTTTCTATGACCGGGCAAATGTATGCCCTAGCGGTGATGTATGTAACCTGTCAAGGCTTAGCAACAATAAAGAGCAGACATAGAAGAGACTTTCTACAAACCCTACAATAAACGGGTTGATCCAAGACTTCGTGATCCCTACTTTGGCGAACGAGGATGGGAGATAAGGAAGTGCATATCTTATAATTTCAGGTGAGATATGAACTGATGTTAAACTGTTTGGGAGATAGATGAGAACATCCACAACAATATATATAGATATATATTACATATAATAGATATATATATATNGTGTGTTGTGTGTGTGGTGTGTGTGTGTGTGTGTTGTGTGTGTGGTGTGTGGTTGTGTGTGTATGTATATTATATATATATATATTATATATATATATATATATATTATATATATAATATATATATATATATATATATAATAATATATATATATATATATATATATATTATATATATTTATATATTATACATACACGCACACATATATCTGTGTAAATGTATATATATATATATATATATTATATATATATATATATATATATATATATATATATATTATTATATATATGCACATACATATACACAAATTATATAAATATATATATATATTAAATATTATTATATATATATATATATATATATATATGCACATACATATACACAAATTATATATATATATATATATATATATATATATATATATTATATATATATATATATATATAATATATGTGTTGTGGTGTGTGTGTTGTGTGTGTGTGTGTGTGTGGTGTGTGTGTGTGTGGTGTGTGTGTGTGTGTGTTTGTGTGTATGTGTGTGTGTGCGTGTGTGTGTTTGTGTGTGTGTATGTTTGTGCGAAAACATACTGCAAACTGAGATACTCTTTCCCACCCATCGAAAGAAAAAAATCCATAAACCTCCATGAAAGAACGAAACCTGGGCTCCCTGAGGGCGCGGTGCGACCTTATCCGTCGAACGTCAGCGTTGCCTGATCAGTCATTCAGTCACGAATTCTTGGCCATCGTCATGTGCCTTAAATTTGTGATAAGTGACAAGCCGTCATTAGTTCATTCATATCTGACTCGGTCAGTGTAGAGTTGCTATACATAATCGTGTCAGTATATCATCGTTTAATCGTTAATCTCTCATTTGTACCTCAATTAGCAATGAATCTCCTTCGAATCACGTAGTCTTGGATCGTCTGTTTCCATCAGTCCTTGTCACTTATCGCTTAAGCGCCATTCGTCACTGCAGGCTCTCGGTTAACCTTCGATCTCTCTCTCATTCGTTCGGATACATTATCTGTCTATCGTCTCTGATTTAATCACTCACCCCGCTCTTGATGAATGATGAATCATCAACAATCAATGTTTATCACTTGGCCAATCACTCATCAGTCGCACCGCCGATTCAACCGGTCCTGAGCATCGGAGGCCACTCGGTCGGTCCTCACACTCGCGTCAACACCTGTCTCCGAAATCAGTCCTCGAGATTTGCCACGTCAACCGAAGGTCGTCTGTACTTGAACTTGACTTCCAAAGACAATAACTGTTGCTTTTGAATGAATTACCTAATAAATTGATTATTCACTGAGTTTTTCCCTTCTGCGACTTTAATGGTCAGAAGGAACAGAAAATAATTAGGACAGATTTTGGCCACAGACAGACGGTAGTTGCGTGTCCTCATCCCTTGCTCACTCAGAAGGCAAGGATTCCACCAGACGAAGGTACATATTCATAATACAAGACAAAAAAACAAAAATAAAACTACAATATTCATGATACAAGACAAAAAGCAAAAACAAAATAATAATGCACTACAGGAAAATTTAACACAAAAGGAAAGGAGAACTCACTCAAAGTATATCTTGTCCACGTGGCAGCTGTCCTGGGAGATCATGCCGGACGCGAGGTCGACCTCTGTGTAGGACGCGTAGGTCGCGTAGAGCTCCTGCTGCAGGGCTTCCAGCGTCCAGAGGTCAGGACGGGTCACCTTCGGCGGCGCCCTTGGCGAACTCTCCTGGAAGCTCCTCAGCCTGGCCTTCGCCTCCGTCATGAGGGAGGAGTTGACTTCCACCCTGGGGAATGCGAGCCGCCCCGTGAGAGACTCGACTTACGCGAAGCATGGCGAAGAAATGGCATGGAGGAAGCTCGTCAGAAAAGGTACCTTTTGCTAACTAAATGTGTCGCTTGGAAGATCATTCATTCAATACAGTTTCGATCACTTCGACGCATCGCAGACTGTAAATAATCAACAGAAGCAAATGCAAAGTACTTCACTATAATTGAAACAAATACTATTTACTTATCTTGAGAAAATCTGTTCGACGACATCCCGTGAACGACCAGGGGCTGCCTGCGCGCCCGGCCGCCCCTCGCGAGCTCCTCGCTGGTCTTCGGAACCGACCCCGAAGGCGGACGACGAGGCATGGAGGCTGAGACGCCCCTCATCTGGCGAAGTTCGGCCGTTGTCGTCGCTGCTGCAGGTGGGGATGTTGTTCACGTCCCGACACACGAAGAACGGCATGTCGTTGGCTGAAATCTGCGAGAGAATGTCGTGCATTCGGCTGACCACGTCGAGCCTCGAGTCAAAGGTGTTGACGCCCTCGCCGCCCCTGCCTTCTGCATTGCCCTGGTCGCCGCCTCTGCTCAGACAGTCTTGCAGGACATCGTAGGCCAGCTTCACTTCGTCATTGCTGTAAAACTGGGCTATGGCATCCGTGAGGGCGCGACGCGAGATCACACGCAACTTCCCGCTGAAGAAACAGAGAAGGTCGTTGAATATCGGAGTGTTGTTCCCCGCCATGGCAGCGCCGGAGACCCGCTACTGCTGGGTCGTTTCTCGGCATTCGCTTAAATACATCTCCAACTGGCAGAGATAAGACTACCCACTGACGTCTTCGTAAGAGGCATTATCAATTGGTGATATAGCTACGTTATCTATAATTGTTTATCTTCCTGAGGAATGTACTCATAACATAATATGTTATATCTGCAAACATACACATAGACACCCAAGAAATACAAACAGATACACAGAAATGCAAACACACATACATACACACATCTCTCTCTCATCTCTAACAATATACGTATATATATAATATATATATATATTATATATATATATATATATATATATATATATAATATATATATATATATGTGTGTTGTGTGTGTGTGTGTGGGTGTGTGTGTGTGTGTGTGTTGTGTGTGTGTGTGTGTGTGTGTTGTGTGTATGTATATATATATTATATATATATAGATATATATAATAGTNATTTGCGTAAATAGCAATAATAGCGAGATAATCAACAACGATTCTAGAGGGATAATGTTACCTACTAATAACCACTAATAATAACGACAATTATCACATCGCCACTATAAAACAACGCTCAATTATAACACGGATATTATTGTTATTATAATAAATTTTATTGTTGTTATTCTTTCTAGAATTATCATTAATTGCCATTATATTATTAAAATCATTTAATGATGAAATGACATTAATAATTAAGATAATTGATTATATAATGACATATATTGAAGGGTAATTAGGGCAATAAATGGACAGTAATGAATAAATAATGATGATGATAATGACAAATAATGAATGATAATTATCATTATAAAAGCCCATCTATAATGAGAAAAGGCTTAAAAGGAGAAAAATCCCCAAAAGTCGAAAAACCGAGCGAGGAATCTAGAAATACAGCCTTCTAGAAGAGGAGTACTTCGAAAACCCACCCCATATTGTCCAGTTTTAATGATGAATTATGATGATTTTACCATTAATTCTGCTAAATTAGGAGATGGATTTTCCACCGATGATACACCATCACAATAATGCCACGATAAATGAATGGTAATTAAGAAGGAGAGATGCGGACAATCAATATGATACCACCATTAACAATATATATATGACAATTGAATAGCTTAAATAAAATGGAATGATTTGCGTAATAGAACTGATGACAGGATAAAAAAGAAGCGCCAATAGTAGATAAGACTATAGCGAGAGAGGCCATAAGAAAAGGAGGAAGTATGGTAGGGTACATAGCTGATGAAGAAGCGAAGAACTAACAATTATAATACCGAATGAGCGACGAGAGATGAAAAGACGAGAAGAAAGAAAGATAGGAAAAAGATAAGAGTGAAATTAAATGGAGACAGCGAGGCAAATTAAGTAGAGAGTAGAACTGAGAGAATGACAAAGAAATAAGGATACTCTCTCAACAATATTCAACCAATCCTATTGTTGTTATTGACGATGTTGCACAATAAGAGAGTTGAAGAGATCCCTATCTATAAATTCTCTTGGTCCATTTTACCTAGCATCTTATTTTACATAACATCTAATTCTATCATTCCTATCCTCTCTCTCCTTCTTCCTACCTTCTCCTCTCTCATCTGCGCACAATGCGCCACTCTCCACTCCAACGTCTAAGGTATTTAAGTTGATTATCTATATATCGACTATATTAAGGGTCATATTCTATCCGAAGGTACATTACTATCGACTATCCTGCCGTAACTATTATCGCAATCATATTCAACTGATTTGTATGCTATCTTAATTCACCAAACTATCTTTCGGATCGAAATTAATTATCATTTATAAAATGTCCTTATCCACTTATACTATTGAGAAAAGCTTAAATAAGCGAGAAAATCCCAACACACGTACCGATAAAAAACCGGCCGAATATCAAGAGCCAAACTACAGCCTTTTGAAAAGAGATGAAGTCGAAAACCTCCTTTTTTATATTATAAAAAATGAATGATTTATGATTCACCCAATTAATTCTGTCAATTTAGGATGATTTTGATGATATAACCCATCAAATAATGACATAATGACGATAATAATGGTAATTATCGAGAGTAATTGACAATAATTAATGATAATAATTAACAATGATACTTATAATGATGATTTGCGTAATAATTGCAATAATAGCAATAAATCACACAATTTCTAATAATCTTCCTCTAAATAACACTAATAAATAACCGACAATGAAACAGAAAATAATAATAAACAGTAATTATCAAACAACGGGCTATTATTGTTATTTATAATAAATGGTTTATTGTTTGTTGAGTTCTTTTCTAGAATTAATCATTATTGCCAAATTACATGGTATAAAATCATTAGTTATAAGATGGAACATTAATAATCCCCTCAAGATAATGATTATTAAATGATTTTATTTTTTTTTTTATAATTAAGGGTAATTAGGGCAATTAAACCACATTCCATCGACGGTAATAATGATGATAATGACAAATAATGTATGATCAATATCATTAAAACCCATCTATAATGAGAAAAAGGCTAAAAGGAGAAAAATCCCAAAAGTCGAAAAAACCGCGAAATCTACCCGCAAATTACAGCCTTCTGAGAAGATGAGTCGAAAACCCCCCTTTTTCCAGTTTAAATGATGATTATGATGATTTTATGCAACAAATTCTACTAATTAGGATGAATTTTTGATGATAACTCTCCAATCAATAATACGGTAAAATGATAATCATGCAAATTAGGAACAATATTATGATTAAATAATAATGATAGTTTTATAAATGATGATATTATCAATAATTGCGATAATAAGAATTCAACTCAACAATATTCTATATGATTTTTCCCTACTAAATAACACTAATAAACACGAACAATGATAAGAAATAAAAATAAAAAAATTAAAATATATCCCGGAATTAATTGTTTATTATAATCATTATCATTATTGTTATTATCTCAAGAATTATCATTATATGTCAAATATCATTAAATTAAAATCATTATAATGATGAAAATGGCATTAATATTTAGAATAATGTATTATTATAATGACTTAATATTAAAGGGTAATTAGGGCAATATATGAATAATGATAATAATGATGATGATAATGACAATAATGGATGATAATTATCATTATAAGCCTATCTATAATGAGAAAAAGGCTAAAGGAGAAAAATCCCAAAAGTCGAGGAAAACCCGGCGAAATCTAGCAAAATACAGTCTCAAGATGAGTCGAATCCCTTTTTCCAGGTAATATTAAATGATGATTATGATGATTTACCATTAATTCTGCTAATTAGGATGATTTTGAATGATAACCCCATCAAATAAATGACAATAATGACGATAATAATGGAAATATGAGAGTAATTTGGACAATAATTATGAATAATGATTATACAATGATACTTATTAATGATGATTTTCGTAATAATTGCAATAATAGCAATATCAAACACAATCTAAAATAATTTCCCTATATATTAAACACTAATACATAAGACAATGAATAACAGAATATAATAATAAAAGTAATTAATAACACGGCTATTATCTGTCTCTATTATAATAAATTTTATTGTTGTTATTCTTTCTAATCATTATTTGCCAATTACAATTATTAAAATCATTAATAACTATATGAAAATGGACATTAATAATTAAGATAATGATTATTATAATGATATATTAAAGGTAAATTAAAGGGCAATAATCAACAGTAATGATGATAATGATGATAGACACATAATGATATTAATTATCACTATAAAGCCCATCTTGATAAATGAGAAAAAGGCTCACAAAGGAGAAAAAATCCCAAAAGGTCGAAAAAAACCGGCGAAATCTAGGCAATAATACAGCTTATGAAGATGATGAACTAAAACCCGCCCCTTTTTCTCGTTTAAATGATGAATATGATTGATCTTTAGCAATAATTCTACTAATTAGGATGATTTTGATGATAACCCATCAATATGACGGTAATAATGATAATCATGCGAGATTAGGAACAATCCTATTAAATGATAATAATTATATAATGATAACTTATTAATGATGATTTGCCTAATATTGCGATATATAAGCAATACTCAACAATATTCTATGTATTTTCCCTACTAATAACATTATCTATTTTAAAAATTAACTATATTATAATAACGACAATGAATAGAAATAATATATAAAATTAAAATCACTATTCCCGGCCATATTTGTTTATTAATAAATCATTTATCATTATTGTTATTTATCCTCATGAATTATCATTATTGTCAATATCATTATTAAAATCATTATTGTCAATATCATTATTAAAATCATTATAATGATGAAAATAACATTAATAATTTCAGATAAATGATTTATTATAATGACTATATTAAGCGGTAATTTAGGGCAATAATCACAGTAATGATAAATAATGATGATGATAATGAACAATAATGATGATAATTATTCATTATAAAGCCCAATCTATAATCGAGAAAAAAGGCTAAAAACGAGAAAAATCCCAGCGAAAAACCCGTCCGAAAATCTAGCAAAAATACAGCCTTCTGAGAGATGAGTTCGAAAACTCCTTTTTCCAGTTTAAATCTGATGATTATGATGAATTTTTAGCAATTAATTTCTAACTAATTAGTCTTGAATTTTGATGATAACCCCATAAATAATGACGGTATTAATGATAATCATGCGAGTAAATTAGACAATAATTATGATAAAAATTTATATATCGATGAAGTTATATATGATGATTTGCCTAACAATTGCGTTAATAAGAATACTCAACAATATTCTAATGATTTTCCTACTAATAACACTAATATATAACGACATATGATAGAATAAAAAATAAGATATTAAATATATACCGCCATTATTGTTATTTACATATCAATTATCATTTATTTGTTTATTATCTCAAGAATTTATCATTATTGTCCATATCATTTATTAAAATCAATTTATACCTATGATGAAATGAACATTAATAATTTAGATAATGATTATTATTAATGA